ATGGGTGTGACATGATAGAGAAGGCAGGTGGCCCGAAAGATGCACAGGGACAGACCAATAGTCAATTTCTTAGACGTGCGATTTCAAGAGGGTCAAAGAATTGATGATGAACATTATTTTTTATGAAAGTAGGTGAAGCAGTGTGGCACTAGGCTATTCTGTGTGGCCAGCTCCAAACACCCGCACCATGCCTCATGTCCGCCTCACACAAACGAAATCTGCAACCGAGGCTCGTACTTGACTCTCTCCTCCAGCTAGTTTTCGCGACGTAAATCAATTCCAACATCGCTTGTCGACTTCCAAACGCTTTGTCATGTTCTTAGTTACTAGAAATTTTCTTCTTCTTTGATCACCTCCATGATCGCGGATTTAGTTCACGTGAGGAAGACGGGAGGCATGGTGTAGGTGTTCTGAGCGGGCCACGTGGAATAGCTTGATGTCACGACTCACGTGAGTGTTGATGACTGTTACTGGACTTAAAGCCCATTTCCTAATAACTCTAAATAGCGTTGCACTGAATTATCTCATTTGGTATGTATTTAATTTCTGATATAATATGACATATTCTTTTCTTTTATTTTAATTTTGAATTATTAGACTTTTTTTCAACAAAATTGTAAAAATTTATAAAAGAAAACTGATGAATTGAATCCTAATAATCCTATAATAGATGATTAGGATGAGAGAAATTATATAATTATCACATAGGCACATATAATAGATATATATTGTTTTGAGCATATGACCATATTTATTATTAAAAATATAGGATATATTTTACAATACTAATAATCGGAAAAAAAATCATTAAAAACATGGGGAAAAGATTGGTCTTCTTAGAAGCTTCTGAATTGTGATCACCCTCTCAATCTCAGGTAGATCTATATCGGACATATAAGTTTCGTAACTATATTACTAGAAAAAAAAATTACATTATGATAACGTGACAAAATTTATATCCTAACAAGCCTCATTATCAAAACTAGATTTGTACTAATGTTAACACAAATCTAAAAGCAATGATGCTCTTCTTGACATAAATTTTATTATGATATAACATTTTAGTGAAGAAGCTCCACAATTTGGGCCAAGAAAGATTTTATAATAAAAAGTATGTAGTTATGAAAATGCCTAAATGCAATTAAATAAATGGTCAATAAATTATCCTCAAACTTTCAAGAAAATCAGAGAATGATCTATTCTAAAATTTTTTAGCTCATAATTATAAAATCCTGATGGAGTTATAGATAATATTTTTATTTAATATTTATTTAGCAATGAGAAAATTAACATATTTTATATTTTAAAATTAAATAATAAAAATAATGATATTTTATATGTGGCCCACACCAGCTGGTCTGGCTCTCTGTCGACTATTATATTAATTTTCTCAGCATATATTTATTTTATATCTCTTAATTTAAAAAAAAATAACGCTAAAGTTTGAGAAATCAATAAATGAGATAGTTATTTATTTTTGTTGGGACAGTAGCTATCATTGCCATCCCCCTTGACAGAATTTAAAAAGCAAAGTGTCCGCATATGATATTATAAATAGTTGTTGGACCAATTTGCAAAAATAAGCAAAATAATGCATATTATAAATATCTAGTTTTACTTAGAATTTTATCTGAGTCAATTTAAAATTTTCTTGATTTACTTTTAAAAGCTCTTTTGAAAGCTACAGTTCCAAAATTTTTTTTTTTTTTAATTTAAGATAAAAAATTTCAACTAACGGTAAAAAAAATTATCTTTCAAACACACATTAATTTTAACTTAATTATTTTTCTTACTACAAAAACAGTCGAAAATATGTTTCAAAATTCAAATAAAACATTAATGTTAAACCGTTGATTTATGCTTAAATCCACATAAAGATGTTGATATTTATCTATAAGAAGTCTATGATTTGCACCAAAATAGATAACTTTGTTTTCACATTTAATGCCTACCTAACTTCATGAATTAATTTGAAGCGACTGATAAATCTGATAAAATCATATTAATTTTTTTTAGTTTATGATTTTGTAATCGTTAATATTTTATTTTTTTAAAAAAAAGAGATGAGCATCTCGATCACTTATAAGACTTGATATATTAAAATTCAAATTGATTATTTTTCTATAAGAAAAAAATAAAATTTTAAATTACAAAAATTATAAAATTATCCTGAATAAAAGTTTATATATCCAACACCCCTTATTAATAATTCCTTGGTGTTCGAACAAAGGATGCCGGTTTGCTACTACCACGCCCCAAACCGACACCAAGCCCGGGAACTGCCATTTGAACCTTTTGTCGAACATCTTGAAGGCATCCAAGATCCAACTGAAAATTCTCTCCCAATGTGTTCTGCAATAAACTTCTTATTGCAGATGTTCACACTATTTCCTATCAAAATTCACCGCCAGTCCGTGCCTTCTTAATTTGCAAGAACTCACCGTCTCAACCATCTCTTGAAGCTTCTTAAATCCACTTCTTCCGAACGGATCCTCCTTTCCAGGGGAAATTATTGGGTTCAGACACATGATATCATCCAGAGCCCTATGAAAATGCGCCACATCACCTCCTACTTGGTACTGAGTAGTACCAAGCAGTATCAAGCTCGGTACTGTTTAGTACTTAGCTCGATACTGTGAAGCACCGAACTCAGTACTTCACACAGTACCGAGCTCAGTACTACTCAGTATTGTAATGTACTGAACGTAAACCGTGTCCGATGTCCGAACCCAATAATCTGTCCCTTTTCAGCACCAAGAATCGCGATATCAACATCCCGACCCTCTTCTTGTGTCAAAATCTTGGTGTCAATTTTGCAGGCGGTCACATACTCTAGACCTTTATCTTCTGATTCTCCAGCGAGAGACCCGTTCTTGCCAAGACTTATACAATTGTTATTTTAAGCTTCGTGGGCTGGCAGCCCATTAGCTGAGGCTTTACTTAATTCCACTGACTGTTAATGGGCTTAAAGCCTATTTCCCGATAGCTCTAAAGAGTATTTCGTTGAATTATCTAATTTGTTATGTAGTAGGACATAGTCTTTTATTTTATTTTTGAATTATTAAACTTGCTTCCAAAAAATATAAAATTTTATTAAAAATGATGAATTGAATCCTAATAATCTTATAATAGACTAATCATTAGGATGAGAGTAATTCTATAGTTATCACATATAATAGATATATATTATTATGAGCTAAAAATTATGTCTATTATTAAAAATATAAGATATATTAGACAAGCCTCATTATCATTAGATTTTATTTAAGAATAGAATTATTTGTAATATATAAGATTTGTACTAATCTTAGCACAAATCTAAAAATAATGAAACTCATCTTGACATAAATTTCATTATGATATCATATTTTAGTGAAGAAGCTTGATTATTTGGGACAATAAAGGAACAAATAAAATTTATGTAGTTATGAAATTGCCTAAATGCAATTAAATAAATGGTTAATATTATATTATCATAAAACATTCAAAAAAATCATTGAATGATCTATTCAAAAACCTTTTAACTTATAATTATAAAATTCTGAGGGAAGCTCTATGGGGTATACATAATACTTTTTATTTAATATTTTTTAGCAATGAAAATTGACATTTTATTTAAAATTAAATAATTAAAATAATATGATTTTTATATGGGCCACACCGATTGGTCTGGCTCTCTCTCTCTCTCTCACTCTTTTTTTTTTTTTTGAACATTTAGATCAATTAAGACAAACTCACACACACATAACATACGTAAGACTTGAATCCTCTTTATTGATAGCTAAACCTCCCAACTAATATATCAAAATGAGCTGCATCTGACTCTCTTTGATGATCATCATATTAATTCTATTTGCATAAATTTATTTTATATCTCTTAATTTTAAAAAATCAAATAAATGCTAAAGTTTGAGAAATCTATAAATGAGATTTGGTTATTTATTTTTGTTGGGATAGTAGCAATCATTGACATCCCCTCTTAGCTCTATTCTCATTGAATTCAAAAACCGAAGTGTCCACATATGATATAATAAATAGTTGTTGGACCAATTTGTAAAAATAAGCAAAATAATGCATATTGTAATTATCTAGTTTTACTTAGAATTTTATTTGAGCCAGTTTATAATTTTATTGGTTTTACTTTTAAAAGCACTTTTGAAAATAGCCTATAGTTTCAAAAATGTTTTTGTTGAAGAAATTTTTTTAAAGATAAAAGTTCCAACTAACGGTGAAAATTTTATCTTCGGAGCACACATTAATTTGAACTAATTATTTTTCTTACAATGAAAAAAGTCAAAAAATTATTCCAATCAAAACATTAAAAGTAAAACCATTTTTGTACGCTTCAATCTCTATAAAGATGTTGATATTTCTCTAAGAAATCTATGATTTGCATCAAAATACATAATTTTTTATCACAATTAATGCCTACCTAGCTTCATTAATTAACATTATTTTATTTGAATAAGAACAAACTTTTAGGTTGATTTTTCTAAGGGCCCACTTCTTTGCTTGAAAATAGAAAATGAATTAATGAAATGATGAAGTTTAGATCAATGAATGCAAACTCATAGACACATCACATACGTAAGCTTCGAACATAAAAACTCTTGGTCGATAACAAGAGCTCCCAACAAACTGATAAAGACAAATTTCATATGATGAAGTTTGTCATGCTCAAATTAATATCAGAGTGGTTGCAATAAGGCAACAGTGATTGAGAACCAAGTTTTAAGTAGATTCATCTAAAAGCCTACTTCTTTGTTTAATAATAGCTCCTTAAATGTTAGATTTTATTTTTTTTAAATAAAATAAGTGAAATCAAACATTAGGTAGGCTTTACTCATGTCGAGTTAGTGTAAAATTAATAATCAAACTTAATTTTTTTAATATTTATTTTTTGTTATATATCTAATCTAAAATTATCAATGATGAATATTTTAGTTATTAATTATAGTGCACTATGTTACCACACTAGTATAATACAAAGCAACGATCTGTCCACTATAGTACTTGTTATCACACGAGTATAATACATAGCACAAATCAACTGTTATAGTGGACATATTGTTGTTGTGTATTATACTAGTGTGATAACACACTCATCTTAAAGAAATTTAAATGGTTAGAAAATTAACCAAACAAAAGTTAGAGCTAGGCACCTAAATTGATTAATTGAATCTGAATATAAAAATATAAGGTTAAAGTCGGTCCCCATCTTTAAAAATTGTTAGCTCCATCACTCTTCAATGCATAAAAAATAATGCATTTATATAAAAAAAAAAATGTAATAATATAAAAATTATTTTCTTCTCAAATATCATTCATCATATATTATAATCCTCATAATTATATTGGGGGTGAGAATCCTAAATATTCATTGACATAATTATTGACTTAGAAAATCTTTGACGGGCAAAAGGTAATAAGATAGTCAGCTCCAATACAAGTAAAAGTGCTCGTCTCATCATCATAAGGGTAGCTGTAAGCCAAAGGGCAAGCTTTCTTGAACACCATGGAATATTTAGTGGGCCCGCACTTGTCGGGATCGTTGTACTTTCCAGTACAACAGTACTCATCCAACCCGAAAACCCAGCAAGCGCTATTGCACCCCACCACGCTTCCATCAGCCGTCGCCGCCGGCTCCCTCAGCTCCGGCGGACACAAAGACTTTATATCGGCAGCGCAGCCGGTGGTGCCGTCACAGCCCGGTCGTCCGCCGCTCGGAGCCACTGCAACCGGAAGGTTAAAGCCGTCCACGAGGCTGGTGCAAGAGGGAAAATTGCAGATTTTGATCAAGATACTCAAAACTTGATATAATGATTAGTAAAAGTGTGAAGCTTTAATCACATTTTCGTTTACAGTAAATATTTTCTTTAAAAAATGATTTTTTTAATCTCGTTTCTAAAAATAAGCTCAGAGGCTCAGAGCGTAAGCTCGGTTGAAAAGAACTTCTTGCGTCAGAATATTTTAAGATAATTTATACAAGAAATGACGTAAAAATTATAATTTTTTTATTGTTAACGGTATACCTGACGTCATAGAAGTCCTTTCCGTCAGCGCCGTTGAGGGTGAACTCCACGAGGCTCGCCGGAGGAATGCCACCCGCGCCGTGGCACTGGAGTTTGCCGGTTCCACAGTCACCGGTGAGGCAGTGGAATTCTCCGGAGTCGTTAGTTGAGCAGTTAGTGCGGGCCCACATGCGGCCAGACCAGTTGGATGGGGCGTGAAGCGAGAAAGACGCGCTGGCGGCGAGCTGGAAGCCGGTGGTGGACAGAGGCGGCGAGCTTGCACCTGCGAGGGTGGCGGGCCACACGGCGTGGGGGCAGTAATTGGTGAAGTTGAACGTTGTTGAGCTAACGGCTGCATTGAAGAGATCAGTGGTGATTAGTTGAATTATAGCTAGGATTAAAGAGTTCAGTTAGTTTTATACCTTTGAGAAGACTTGCGAGGAGAAAGAAGAAAGCGACGTGGATCGCCATTGTGGCTATGGAGGAGAAGGATTGGGGACAAGTGAAGGAGTTGGGTTGTGAGGACTATTTATATTGATTGATATTTAATTATGTGTTATAGGCCTTGTTAATTTGAAGTTCATTAGCATTAATCCAAATGGACTTTGAGCTATTTGAAGGCTACCCCATTCAGATTTTTATGGTTGATGAGAGCCTTCTTTAGTTCTTATTATTTATTTTCTCTCATTTTTTTCAGCCATATTTTGTGGGGTTTTAGTTTTTTTTTTTTTAATTATTATTGTAAAAGATTGTTTTCTTTGTTTGAATTAAGGGTAGTTTGATTCTTTGGTGGCAAAATTTTCGGAACAAGCATCTCTTATCCGACATTTAAAGGAACGAGCATTTTTTTAAAAAATTTTAAGAAACAGCAAATGCGCTGTAGTTTTAAGCGCATTCAAAGAATGCGCTTTTGTGTTTAGCGCATTCTTTGAATGCGCCATTTAATCTGGCGCATTCAGTGAATCAGAAATTGTAATTAGTTTTTTGTTCAAAATGCGCGTATTTACTAGGCGTATTCTTGTTTTTTCCTCGTACATGACCAGGACATTTCATTGTACGCGTTAATTTTTATAAGTTTCAGCTCCACATGTAAATCAGTTATTCTGTTCTGTACCGAAATTGGTGATAATAAGAGAAATTGAAGCGTTGATTTTTGTCTTTTTCCGGTGATCATGTTAAGGCCAAAATTTCGTAACAAGCTTCATTTATAATTAAGTATGAAGAAAATTATGTGAAATGAACTTGTTGAGATAATTGTTGAAAAATTAAATTTGTTATCTCATCATTTAAATAATTAATTATTTCTTAAAAAAATATAAAAAATTTAGAACTTTTATGTATTTGTTTTTACCTGATTGAAAAAAAATTAGATTAGATAATTTCAAGGCATTATTAAATGGCCAAATTTTTGAAACAAGCATTGTAAATGCGACATTTAAAAATTAGAGCAGTATTTTAAAAAAAATTTAAAAATTTTACTAAAATTCGAGGATATTTTATATTTAAATCTAGCTAATAATTTTAGAAAATTGGGAAATGAAAGTGACAAAAGGCATTAACACAAATTAAAGAAAATACAAGATTAGTTCAGTAATAAAATGGATGACATATCATAATAATTGAGAAATGGTAAACAAATTATTATTACATTTGGCTCAGAACGATGCGCATACGCGCTTGGAGTTGGGATAGAGTTGGACAGCATAAGAATTTTGATGTGAACTGGTGTTGGATGTATTGTCAATCTTTTATGTTAAAAAACTCCTTCTTTTTACCATCTATAATATTCAGATCTTTATATTTTTCTGATAGAAATGCATCTTGATTAGTATGCCAGGCCACCTTTTATAAAGGATACAATGTTGCACATCGGTTATTGGATTCTCAGCATTAATCACAACGGAACCATCTTTTTTCTGTGTGATTTCATTAATTCATGTACTAAGAATATTTATAGGAGCAAAATGACCATCTTTTTCTGTGAAATCATCCCCGATACGAAGCTCCCCAACGTAAAATAACATTAAGCGTGACATTCTGTCCTAAATTACACAAATTTGAGGGTTAATCCAAGGAATGTCATTTTTCGATAAAATTTTTTAATTTACAAAAATGGTCATAATGTAACTAGAGTAATTGTTATTTAACGCGTATCAATATACTAATTCTATTCTTACCGATGAGGTCAAATTAATTTATTCTTCAATTCAATCGCAATGATATATTCAGCTTATAGCACAAAAATTTTCTCAATTTTTTTTTTTTTACCTAGCATATCCACCCTATATGTAAACATTTAATCTCCTTAAGGATGATTTTAATATTCCCAATTCAGTTTTTCTATGAAAGTCAATTCATTAATTTAATTCATTAATATATTTATCAAATCATTAACAAATAGAATATAACTCAAAATGCTTGAAAACTTTTAGGATTTTCAACTTAGGTCATTTTTAACCTATATTCATAGTTTTATGAAGATTTGAGACCATTTGGTGGTCTAATTAATAAACCTCAAGTTACTTTACGTATAAAACCCTAATAATAAGGGCCAATTTTGAAAATTGATAATATATTCTACAAAAATTCTTAATGTATAAACTCACTTGTAGTCAACTTTTGATGAATTAGAGAAGTAACAAAAAAAAAAAGGTTAATTCAAATTAACTCTAACTTTAATTTTAATAAATCAGTAACTCAACTTATGCTTACATGGCACTAAAACATTTTTTCGGATTGATCTTTGGGACAGTAATAACTCATAGAATAAATTTCATAAAATTTTGAATTCATTTGATAAGTTAAATATTAAACCTTAATTATAATAGTGTATGTAAACTCTTTAAATTAGAAAATTGATTGATAATTAAAATACAATTAAAAATTTATAAATAAAATATAGTGAATTTATAATTCAAAATGTAATTAAAGAAACATAAATTTACGAATTACATGTCAAGTTTAAACTGAGATCGGAAACATAAGTTTAAAGAATACTTAAGTTAAATATATAAATTAATGAATAATAATTAGAGAAAAACTATCAGATCCAGGAATTTTTTTTTTTTTAATTTTCTTCTTCTTTTAGGAGAGAATTTAGCAAATTCCTAAGTCAAGCGTTACGTACATTTTATTATTATTAATCAATAATAATAAGGATCATCATTTGAACTTCATTTAATTATAAATATCTCTTTTCACCTCATAATCATGAGATAAACCTTAGAGGATTTTCAATTAGTTAAGCTCATAATTACCGAGCTTTACGACATCTATTTTTTTAGGCTACTATTAAATTAAAAATTAGTGAATTTGCCTGTGTACTACAGATTTTTTTATAAAATATGTTACATAATTGGAGATCTTTGGAAAAAAAATACATCCAACTACCCACAAAACATTGATAAATTTCTTTCCAAAAACCAGACCTAACAACAAAAAATGCTAAAAATAAATACAATAAACCAAATTTATTTTAAATAAACTACAAATTTGCTGATAAAAATTGATACTAGTCACTCCTAAAATAATAACACATAAATCTGCCACAAAGAAATATATCCCACAAAAAGTGCGGAGCTAAAAACTACTTCATAATACATAATTTCTTAAAAAATATGTACAAAACTTTTACATCACAACCAAATAAACTATGAATTAAATTAAAAAGAAAAAAAATTAAACATACCTCAGCGATCTCTCTCCGGATGAACACAGCTAGCGGTAGCAAGGCACACAGCAAACAACGGAAGAAGCTTGTGATTTCCCCTCAGCTCTTCTGCTCCTATTTATAATTGAAATCTGCATGGCAACTTCCTCACCCACTCCCCAAGCGTCCAACCAACCGCAATTATTTGCGTTTAAATTTCCGCAACGGTCCGCGGATTTCGCGGATCTGGTATCCGCTAAAATCCAAAGATTCCATTCAGCCAGCCAACCAAACATAAATCTTTGCAGAATGCGCTGGGCAGGTTGGCGCATTCTTGAGACTTCGCCGAACATATTAGCGCATTTACACTGCGCTAGTTGATTTGGCGTATTAGCTCGAATTTAAATTTTTGCGTAAATCTGCTTCTTCCACAAAAATTCATTTGCATCATGCTTCCGAAAATTTGCCCTTCTTTGGTTGGGTACATATGAAGTCTAAAATAATTTAATTTAAATTATGGATTTATACATAAAGTTGAAGAAAAAAAAGTTAACTGGAGTTCTCATGTATGATATTTAGATATTTAATTGGCGAACCATTATTGATTATTATTACAGTAATTAATATAAGATATCATATTTAGTGATTACTGAATCATATGTGTTAGATAAAATATATACTGAGGAACCTTCCGAGCTCTCGGATTGTGGTTTCACTTCGCCGGATTTTTGCGGGGGGTCTGACCCTGGAAATGATTTCTCTCTGGTTCGGATTAAACCAGATCGTTCAATTGTATCTCGTGGAAGGGGCCGCCGTAGACGTTGAATGTTTGTTCTTTTTATTTTTTCCTATTTTTCCTTTGCTCTTCGGGTTATGTTGCTTTCTGTGTTGTCGCTATGGTTGGGGGCAATGATGTGGCTAGGGCTCGCGTCCTTGTCGCTTAGCTGGTGGCAACCTTTGGTGCTTTTCGGAGTGTTAGTCGATCACTGTGCGCTTCTTTCACCTTATTGGATGGTCCGTGCGAACTTATGTTTTTTTTTTTTTTCATATTGTGATTCTTTTTTAACTTCTACGCAACTTTAACATAAGAGAAATTTTTTTAATTGTATTTTTTGCCCGATACACACATTTGTATTGCATTTTATAAGGGTTCACATATTTCAATCATCTATAAGTTGTTTTTGTTCATTTTGAGATGATTTTAGCATTTCTACAAAGTATATACAAAGGAGATTTTTTTTTTTAAATGTGATTTCTCCCTATACATAGTGTATGTTGACTATGTATTCCATTTTCTAAATTAGGTTTCACATAATTCAATCATTTATGAGTTATTTTTATTCATTTTGTGATGCATTTGAGAAGTTAATATGCAAAGATATAAATGATTTATATAGTATTTTTGTTAAATGATTTATATAATATTTTTGTTCATTCTATCATGCTTGTAGATGTATATTTTAAATATTACTTATCGTTGCAGACAATCAATATTAGAGCTATATGCGACTAATTGGTTGGTACATATTTTAGGCAAGAAAGTCGAGTACGCCTTAAAGAAATTACACATTAATTTATTAAGTTCTCTGCATTCCAACATAATGTTCTCTTGATATATATGTTGTTGCCATTATGGGATATTCTCCATCAATGCTTCATCATTAAGGGGCATCACCTACAATTCACTACAGATAAAGCGGCTCTAGTTATAGGATTGCTAAATAGATGTGTTGATATTAGTTGGGAAACTAAGACACTAACAACATACTTTTCAATCGATATTAAAAATGAGATGAAAAGCATCAATAAATTAACTCAACCATCCCTTATTTTAAATAAATTTATTTATCATATTTCTATCATCCATTTTATTTTTCCCTATTCATAATTATAAAAGCCCAAAGAAGCTCATTAGTGTTGTACATAATATAGATGAGTTCTCATCTTATAATTAGGCATGAGCCATTATGGATTTTGTAGTTTCTCAATTTAATGGGATAGTACAAAATTTTATTAAGGAGAGCCCACTAGGTTATATAAATGGATTTATAGATTTGCTACTTGTGAGTGCTAATAACATTTAAATATCTTTCTAATTATTAATTCAGTTAAGGAGTTTATTAGCTAATATTACATTTGATCTTATAAGAATTTGATTATGGTAGTACACTTCAATTTATGCCCCTAAGATTGGCTCGAGCTTGGACAGCTAGAAATGAAA